AAGGATTAGAAACCCCACTCCAGCATTGAAGGTGTTGATGGTCCAATCTAGCACAAACACACCCAGTCCAGTCCGGATCAGAAGCAGCTACCTAGGCAGAAATTGAAGTCTAACGCTCTTTTGTCTTTTCTGGAGTTGGTTTTTCTCTTTCTGAGCTTTGTAATAGGCAGTTTTGCCTAAATCGTTTACTTTCTTATCATTTATTCTGGCCAGAGCTACCAGTTTTTGTACTTTAAAAAATTGTGAAAGTCCTCACCAGCCTGAGGCAGGAAAAGAACTTACTTGGGAGATATTCCTTACCCAAATTCACAATCGCTTGTTCAGAATCAGTAACATGCTCATACACAAAAGAGAGTTGGCTTGTTGACCAGTCAATGGTTTTCAAGTCAATAGGGAACTTCACCCTACCTTCACAGTATCATATCAAAAACGGGTGAACAATTTGGCACGCCGGGTGGGACCACTTAGTACACATAATCCTAGAAAAATCTTCTAGTATATGAAAATTGGAAGTTCTAGCCAGAATCCACGCTTTGCCATGGAAAGAGATTAGGCAGCTCTCCAGGAAGGACTTTAGTCAGAAGAAAGTGATGCTAGGCACTCAGCCGATGGCAGTACTAGGAATGGACGTTCCAAGTTTGGTTCCAGAAGGTTAAATAAGATACAGAAGCCAGGATACTCTAAACAACATAACAGCCATGATGCAATGGCAAGTCAACAGTCAGTTCAGGAAGGATCGTGAGGCTGCAATCGCAAGAATTGCAAACCCAGATGTTGTGGTTCAACAACTAGAACTCTCTTTTGGACCCCCACCAGGGCTAGCATGGCCATACCAAGAGAATCCTCTCATCGCACAGATAGCTGGAATGCCAAGACATGGAGAAATCCAAGCTGGACAGAGGGGAGGAGCCTTTCCCGTCCAAGAACGAGAAGCTCCAGTTCTTCCAGAAGGCCTTGCACAAGTTCAGGCCCCCCCAGAACCAGGCCCGGCCCTGGGCAGGGGCAAACAGTGCGATCGCCCTGGGCCCAATATTCAGAGGGGCCCAATTTTTTTTTTTTTTGAATCCCCTTCATCTCATCTCATCTAAGCCTCTCTCCTACAAGTTACAAAGTTGTGAATCCCCTTCATCTCATCTCATCTAAGCCTCTCTCCTACAAGTTACAAAGTTGTGAATCCCCTTCATCTCATCTCATCTAAGCCTCTCTCCTACAAGTTACAAAGTTGTGAATCCCCTTCATCTCATCTCATCTAAGCCTCTCTCCTACAAGTTACAAAGTTGTGAATCCCCTTCATCTCATCTCATCTAAGCCTCTCTCCTACAAGTTACAAAGTTGTGAATCCCCTTCATCTCATCTCATCTAAGCCTCTCTCCTACAAGTTACAAAGTTGTGAATCCCTAAATTAATTTTTCTGTTGGTAGATTGGGGAGATTCCAAAATCCAAAGTGTGGGCTTTTATCAATTGAAGGTAATTTTTTTATGATTTGATATATCAAATGAAAAGGGAAATATGATTTTTTTTTGTTTGTTTGTAGATTTGTGAACTCATGAAATTACATATTCTCTTTGCAGGGATTCTTTTAAGCTCTAATTGATTGCAAATTTGTTTATGTGGAGAGCGATTTCTCAAAGGGGGTTTCTCAAATTCCAGGTTATGTTGTTTTTTATTTATTCTTTGAAGTATTAAAATTGCATTGGCTTTCCTTGTATTGTTTCTGTTTTCGGTGTAACAATGTTCCCTAAGAAACACCCATCTGGAAGTCAGAAAAGAAAAAAAAAAGACAGAGAGAAGAATTAACTCAATCTCAAAAGGGTGCTTTGGATAAATTTTTTCAAAACAAAACAAATAGTTCACTTGATAACTCAACTGAAGATTTAGTCAATGAATCTGAGCAGCAAAATCATGTTGAAGAAATTGTAGGAATTGATAATGATTTAGTCAATGAATCTGAACAACAAAATCATGTGGAAGAATTGGTAGGAACTGAGAATGATTTTAATGCACAGGTAGGTGACTTAGGTGAAGATCAACATGTTGAGAATGAAGATTTTGACAATCTTTGTAATAATGAAGACACTGAACCTGAGAGTGTAGAACCAAGTTTTCCTTTAAACATTTTTGATCCTCGAATTTGGGATAATCTAGATGAAAAAATGAGAGCTTTACTTGTGGAAAAAGGTCCTGCAAGAGATAATAATATCAAATATCCTAGGGATGAAAACTTCAGACATTTTTCCTCAACTTATTACATGAGAAAGTTACCAAATGGAGAGACTCATGATAGAAAATGGCTAGTATACTCAAAGGAATTGGATAAGGTATTTTGTTTTTGCTGTAAGTTGTTTAAGACAATGTGTTGTAGAAGCCAATTAGCAAACGAAGGACTTAGAGATTGGAAACATCTTAGTGAGAGGCTTAAACAACATGAAAACAGCATTGAACACATAACTAACATGAGTTCTTGGATTGAATTACATAACAGATTGAAAAAAAATGAAACAATTGATAAAGGCATACAAGAACAAATTAGGAGAGAGAAGGAACACTGGAAACATGTTTTGGTAAGAATAATTTCTGTTGTCAAATGTCTTGCTAAAAATAATATTGCATTCCGTGGAACAAAAGAGAGAGTTTATGATGAAAATAATGGTAATTTTTTAGGTATATTGGAAATGGTTGCAGAATTTGATCCAATAATGCGAGAACATTTTCGACGAATTCAAAATGATGAGATTCACTATCATTATCTAAGCCATAAGATTCAAAATGAGCTGATAGTTTTGCTGGCTTCAAAAGTCAGAAGTGCAATCATTGAGAAAATCAAACAAGCAAAATATTTTTCAGTGATACTTGATTGCACTCCTGTTTCAAGTCACAAGGAACAAATTACTTTGATAATACGGTGTGTGGATGTGTTAAGGAGTCCAGTGAAAATAGAAGAGTACTTTTTAGAGTTTTTAATTGTGAAAGATACATCAGGGTTAGGACTTTTTAATGAATTGCAATCTGTCCTAGAGTCCCTTGGTCTTAAAATTGATGATGTTAGAGGACAGGGTTATGATAATGGCTCTAATATGAAAGGAAAACATCAAGGTGTACAAAGAAGATTACTTGAAATAAATCCTAGAGCTTTGTTCATGCCATGTGGTTGTCATTCTCTTAATTTAACACTATGTGATATGGCAAACTGTTGTGTGAAAGCGAAATCCTTTTTTGGGGTGGTTCAACGCATTTATTGTGTTTTTGCTAATTCTACAAAGCGTTGGAAGATTTTACAAGATCATGTAGATGGTTTAACTCTCAAAACATTGTCAACTACACGTTGGGAAAGTCGTGTAGAGAGTGTTAAAGCAATTAGATACCAAGCTGCTCAAATAAAAGAAGCTTTATTTAAAGTAGCAGAAACTAGTGAAGATGCTAAAGCAAAAAGTGAAGCTGAAAGTTTAGCAACACATGAACTGGAAAATTTTGAGTTTTTATTAGGCATGGTTATTTGGCATGATATTTTGTTGAAAATTAACTTAGTCAGCAAAAAGTTACAATCTAAAGATATGTGCATTGATGTTGCTTTAAAATATTTGGAGGGGCTCATTTCTTTTTTTGAGAATTATAGAGAAAATGGATTTGCATATGCTATGATTGAAGCTAAAACTATTGCTTTTGATATGAGGATTAAACCTGAATTTCCTAAAAAAAGGTCAATGTCATAGAAAGAAACAATTTGATGAGAATGCCAATGATGAGACAGTACAATCAGTTGAAGAATCATTTAGAGTCAATTATTTCATATGTGTAGTGGATATGGCTCTTTCTTCATTAAGGAGTAGATTTGAACAAATGCAAACATATGATGGTATTTTTGGGTTCTTGTTTAATTCAAAGAAGTTAACTTCATTGGGTGATGAGGAATTGAAAAATTGTTGTCTGAAGCTTGAAACTACTTTAAGAAATGGTGAGTCTTCTGATGTTGATGCAAGTGATTTGTTTTCAGAGTTACAGGTGCTGCAATATCTTTTACCATCAGCAGTAAACACAACACTTGAAATTGTAGAGTTTGTAAAAGATATGGATTGTTTTCCAAATGTTTTGATTGCCTATAGAATACTATTGACTGTACCTGTGACTGTAGCATCTGCAGAAAGAAGCTTTTCTAAATTAAAATTATTGAAATCTTACTTGAGGTCTACCATGTCACAAGAAAGGCTAAATGGGCTAGCAATCTTATCCATTGAAAAGGAGATGTTAGAAAAGCTTGAATTTGAAAGCATCATTGAGGATTTTGCTTCTCAAAATGCAAGAAGAAAATCATTTACATAATACCTTTTCAGTTGTGATTTTGTTGTTTTTCACCTTATCTTGCAGGTGGTGATGTTGATATTTTGCCGGTAGCGGAGGATGCAAAGGGATTTCAAGTAGGCTGCTGTTGTTTGCTTTGTCTATTGAGGAAGAAAATACATTTTTGTTTTGTTGGTTGCTGAGGATGCAAAGAGATTCAAGTAGGCTGCTGCACTTTGCTTTGGCTATTGAGAATGTAAAGACATTTTTGTTTTGCTGGTTGCTAAGGATGCAAAAGGGTTTCATATAGATTGATGTTATTTTGCTTAGGCTATTCAGCATGTAGAGAATTTTTTTCTTTTGGTTGGTTGCTTGTTGGTGGATGAAAAAGAACTTATTTTGCTGGATGAAAAAGAACTTATTGAATTGTTATAAGTATTTATCTTGTTTATACATTGTAGCCTTTTATTCTAAATTTTAATATATTGAAGTTTGAATCGATGGACAGATTAGATCTTGGTTGAAAAATAAGAGAGTTATCACTAAGTTTAAATATATATAGGGCCTAATTTTTACTTTTGCCCTGGGCCCTGAAAAATTCAGGACCGGCACTGCCCAGAACCAGCCAAAACCTCCACCTATCACACGACCAGTGGTCCCACGCGATCAACCCTTAGCACATCTGCCTGAGCAACCAGCTGTGTTGCCCTACAAACCTAGAAGGATGGACCCGAATCCATTCCCTCCACTAGCAAGAGGCAGGAGAGGCAGAGGGGGAATAAACCCTTTTGCCAACAATGATAGGAACAGGCCGGGGGCAAATTGGAGGAATCATCCAAATTTCGAAGAGGAGGAAGAGCATAGGGAGGAAGTTCTGCCCAGACCATACAAAGTGGAACAAAGGATTGAACACAACCAGCCAGAACAGGGGCGGAATCCGCATCCTGTCAACGCCTTGAATGACATGGGAGCACTACAGAGGATGATTAAGGAGATGATGGAACCTGAGGCCAGAAGAGGAGAAATGCCCACCTACAGAAAGCCATATCCAGCATATATTGATCAAATACCTCTATCCCCAGGCTTTAAGGTACCAAACTTCACCTTGTTCAATGGAAAGGACACCCATGCTTCATCAGTTGAGCATATAGGTAGATTCTCTGTCCAATGCATAGCCATAGAAGATAACCCTTTATTAAAACTAAGGCATTTTGGAAATTCTCTCTTTGGGCAAGCCTTCACCTGGTATACTAACTTACCAGCCAATTTTGTTCAAACTTGGGAACATATGGAAAATGTCTTCCATGACTACTACTTTAGAATTCAGCCAGAGGTCACCATCAGTGATCTAGCAGCCCTCAAACAAAGTAGGGATGAGCCCGCACAAGACTTCATAACCAGGTTCATGAAGCTTAAGATGAAATGCTAGATACCTATGGAAGAGAGACACTTCATTCAAATGGCTCAAACGGCCCTCAAGATCTCTCTAAGGAAGAGATTCGATGGGATGTTGTTTGGAGACCTAGCAGAACTAGCAGACAAAGCATCTAAATACGAGGAGCTGCTTAGGGAAGAACAACAGAAAAGGAACTCCTCCAAAGGCACATATTACAAGACCCCATCCTCTTCAGTGCATCTGGTTGAAGTGGAGTTAGAAGAAGGCACAGAGAGCTCAGAGGAAAGAGAAGTTGCAGCGGCGGAAATGGCAAAATTAAAACATCCTATCAGTTGCAAGGCTCTGACAAAGCCACCAGAGGATCAGAAGCCGCCGCCAATTACAGGAGGGTTTGTTCCAGACATACCAGCACAGAACAAAGTTTATTCCTTCGATTTAACCAAGGTTGATGCTCTGTTTGATGATAAGCTACTGCAAAAAGCAATAGAGACACCTCACAGGTTGCCCAAACCAAAGGAGCTCAAGGGCAGACAGTATTGCAGATGACACAACTCTTGGAACCACTCCACCAATAGTTGTGTTGTTTTCAGAGACGTCATACAAGAAGGGATAATAGCAGGAAGGTTAAAACTGGCTGAGAAACCTCCCTCAGTGACAACAGACCCTTTTCCCCAACCTCAAGTCAACATGGTCAACTTAAATTGGCCAGAACAGAAGAGAGGCAAACTAACAGCAGAAGTTGGCCCCAACATAGGCAGAAGAGTCACAAGAGAGGCAAATCAGAGACCAAAGGCAACCATTTTAGCTGGGGTAGTTCTGTGCAATAAGTGCAAATGCAAAAGTGAGTTGGAGGTAACTTTGGATGGGCAAAGCCAGCCCACACCTAGTGTTTTTGACAGGATTGGAACATCATACCAACAGGGCCCGGTTCTTGCCCCACCCAGAGACATAGCCAGGCAGAAGGCCTATTAAAGGCCTACCCAACGCATCGGAAAAATGACCGAGCAGCCAAAGAAGGAGATACCAGTTAAAATGCCTGGAAATGATATGCCTTTGGCAACTATCATAGAAGGTAGATGGTACTCTGTTGGAAAGAGCGGCAGGCCAACTTTGGAGCTAACCAGAACACAGAAGAGGAGAGTCCAGAGGCAATACTGCACCTTCCTCAAGAACAAGGATAACACACAGGTACTTCCAGAGGTCAGTTCTGCTAGAAAAGGGAAAAATCCAGAAGCAGATTCTCAGGCAGAACAGACAACATATCAACAAGAAGAGTTGACAAAGGCAGAATTTCCAGGCAAGCCTTCTATCCATCCAACCTCAACCTCAATCAATCAGTTGGAACCTTAACAATCACAAGGTCAATCTGGACCTATTCCAGTAGAAGGAAAAGAAGGTTGGATTGAAGAATATGAAGAGGAACAGTTGGATTACTAACCATCTGCAGACAACCAGACTGGACTCCTCGAAACAGGTGAGCAAGAAGAATGGACAGAAGAATATGGAGAAGAACAGATGGAGTACGATGGAGAACTAGATGAAGAAACTGAGGCTTTCGGTGCAGAATTAGAAAGCCTGTTACAAGGTGCAGAAGGACAAGATAACACTTTGGAAGGAGATGTACTCTCACAAGAAACTTTCGAGCGCAGTGTTCGTACCACTTTGCAAAACCCAAGGGAAGGTATCGTATAGTAGTAGCTCGGAAGTCCGAGTGTGGTATCCACAGAGAGCGGTGTAAAGAAAATAACAGAGATGAAAAAGAACAAGTGTGATTGAGAGGTAGATTTATGCAAGATTTGATTTAGAGAAAATTTAATTGTACCCATGAAATAGATTATCAAACATTCATCAATTAATTAAAAAGAAAACTACAAATTCCATTTGAACAAAAACTAAAAATTCACATTAAAGCAAGTTTGGATCAAACTAACAAAGATTACACACTCATATTAAAAGCTTGCTCCCTAGCCTTAGCTAGGGAGTTAGTTTCCCATAAAATAAAACTAAAACAAATTAAAACTAGAAGAATTGGAGGAAGGAGAGAGAGCTCAAGAGAAGATTGTGAGCTTGGTGTGTGTTTTGAAGCTTGAAGACTTCTGTATTTATAGGGCTAAGAGGGAGGAACATCATGATGAATTCCAACACCACCATTCCTATTTCAATACAATCCATAACTCCCACTTCATCTTGTCTATGTTGGTGAGGTTGCCATAATTCCATTGTTGAATTCTTTTCTATTCTTTTCCCTTTTCTTGTGGCTTTCATCCTCTTTTTAGATAATGTGCATTGAATTTGAGCTTCTTTGGAGTGGATGACACCTTACAAGCATGTGATTTCAATTTTCTTTTGTTTGCTTCCATCTCATACTTCTTTTGCTTTCTTCTTTTGGCATGGGTGTGGCACTTCATGCATTCTTTTCAATTCTTTTCTTCTTGTGCTAGTTGCACTTTTTTCTTCATCATCATTGCTTCATGGATATGTTGAAGTTCTTTAATTGGCCACTAGCATATTATCTTTGGGTGACACACTTCTTGGCATGCAAATTGAGTTGGTTTTCACAACACACAAACCTACATAGGAAGTCATTGATCAAAGTTAATAAAATGACATTATACCAATTTGACCAAGTAAAAATATACTTGCACAATATTATTTAATTACCCCTTATATTTGTTTTGAAATTAAATGTTAAGGGCAATAAATATGTGTTATTGTCTTATTATCATGTAGGTTGGCAGAAGTGGAAGAGGCACCAGAACAGCAAATATCTGCTGACAAAATAGGCAGAACTGCCATGAAATTGGCCACAGAACAGCTGTGCTTTTCCAAATGTACTAAGGAAATGGCCAATTATCTCAGACCTTTGTTCATAACTGCAAACTTTGGGCGTGTTCCTATCCCCAAAGTAATGATAGATGGGGGTGCAGCCATTAATCTTCTACCTCACAGATTGTTGGTTAAAATAGGCAGAACAGAGAAGGATCTAATTCCATGGAATACTAGACGTGGATGTCATAGTAGGAACCAAGAAGCTGAAGATTGCCTTTTTTGTGGTAGACACCGCTTCTACCACTTACAATGCACTGCTTGGCAGAGATTGGATCCACCAGAGTCTATGTGTTCCTTCCACTCTACACCAACAGTTGGCCCTCTGGCATGAAGGGGGTTTTATGGAAATAGTGGAGGCCGACCCATTGGCATTCCTGCCATCTGCATTATGCTTTGAGGCCAGGTACTATCATGATGACCTTGGTCCATTTACTTTCTTCGGAGTCAACCAGAACGGCCGCCCCCATGGTGTCACGGCCCAGAAACTCATTGAAGAAGGCTTGGCTGGTTCTTTATAGGACTGGAACAGGCCTTTCATCCTAAACCTCCAAAATTCTGATGTATAGTTCAAACCAGCAAGAAAGGGATTGAGCTGCAACAATTTGATTCATTACAAATAGATTGTTGGCATATTGGGAAGAAAGGAAGCTTTCCATATGTAGTCCAGCCATTAACATGGCAAAATTTATGCATGAGAGCATAGAAGAACATGAAGGAAATTTGCAAGAGGAAGAATTGGAATTTGCACCAGCAGCAATGGATGACTCTCTGCCAGAAGTAGAGGATCCTTTGCAAGAAATAAACTTGGGGACAGAGGAGAATCCCAGACCTACTTTCATTAGCATGTTGCTGGACGAATCGTTGAAGGATGAAATCATTGCACTTATGCATGATTTCAAAGACTGTTTCGCAATGGCATTATCATGAAATGCCTAGACTGGATAGAAGATTGGTGGAACACAACTTGCCAATAAAAGAAGGATACCTACCAGTCAAGCAGGCCAGAAGAAGAATGTCCATGGAGACAGAACTGAAAGTTAAAGAAGAAGTAGAGAGGCTGATTAAAGCAGGTTTTATCAGGCCATCCATTTATGCTGATTGGCTATCCAATATTGTACCAGTTCTTAAGAGGAAAACAGGGGCAGTCAGAATATGGCAAACATGCTTGTAGACAGAGCTGCTCACAATCAAATGCTATCATTCATGGATGGCAATGCAGGGTACAATCAAATAATGGTGGCAGAAGAAGACATCCACAAGGCAGCCTTCATGTGTCCAGGGCATATAGGTGCTTTTGAATACACTGTAATGCCTTTTGGCTTGAGAAATGCGGGAGCCACTTATCAAAGAGCAATGAATTCTGTTTTCCATGATGTGATAGGTTATTCTCTAGAGGTTTATATAGATGATGTGGTGATCAAGTCTCCAGAAAAAGGAGACCATGTATCCAATTTAAAGAAAGCATTTCTAAGAATGAGACAACACAAGTTGAAAATGAATCCCAAGAAATGCGTTTTTGGAGTTCAAGCTGGCAATTTCTTAGGTTTCCTGGTCCATCAAAGAGGAATAGAAATTGACAAGAACAAAGCAAAGTCTATCATGGAAGCTTTGCCACCTCGGAACAAGAAAGAATTACAAAGCGTCTTAAGAAAGATTAACTTTCTCAGAAGATTCATATCCAATTCTACAGGAAAAATTCAACCTTTCTCCTCCTTGTTAAGATTAAAGCAAGAACATACATTCAAATGGGAGGAAATCAAGCACTCCCTCTCAAATCCGCCAGTTCTGTCCCCACCAAAGAAAGGCAGACCACTCAAATTATATGTCTTTGCATAAGAAGTATCCATTGGGAGTCTTTTAGTTCAAGATAACAATGAAGGGAAGGAACATGCAGTCTACTACCTAAGCAGAACTCTGACAGAGGTAGAGAGGAAATATTCTGCGATTGAAAGGCTTTGTTTGGCTTTATACTTTACTGTTGTGAAGCTCAGACATTACATGCTACCCTTTACCATCTACATCGTTACGAAAACAGATCTAATCAAATACATGCTGATAAGACCAATGTTGAGAGGGAGAATTGGTAAATGGACTCTGGCCCTATCAGAATTTGCTTTCAGATATGTTCCTCAAAAGTCCATTAAGGGACAGGCTGTTGCAGATTTCTTGGCAGATCATCCAGGGGAAGAAATTGAGAATATGGA